GGGGGGGCTGCGGAGCGAGCCCGGCCGCAGCGACCGACGGCTGGGGAGCCGGGCTTGCCTTTCCCTGCGCGCGCCCTTCTTCTAGGCGCCCCTTCTCGCGGCCACCAGCCCAGCTCTGGCCGAGCCAGACGCCCTCCACTCCTCCCTCCCTCTGGGTAATTTGACAAGTGTAAGGCAACCTGTCCCCTCACCCTCGTTTCTCTGCACTCTATACCCCCACACTCCCCTTCCCACCGTCATTGGTATTCTGTGGAAGTCCACACGTCTTTCATAATATCTGTAGAATCTTTTCGTTTGGGGGCACTCCCAGCCATCTTCTCCCTATGTTCCATCCCCAGCCAAAACCAGATGAAAAATCCATTCACCCAGTAGTTAGTGCCCTGACTTCAAGTTCACAGCGTGCGCTGGGTCGTGGTGTAAGTCTGGGCGGGCTGGAAGCCCACCACGTCCACAATCTTTGCCGCCAGCCCACCCCCACGCCCCCAGCCCCCGGGTAGAAAAGACACAGCCCTGACAAGAATTTAGAAGAGAAATATTCCAGAATGGTCTCCCAGCACTCACACTGGCCCCAAGGCAACCTGGCCCCATCTCTTCTTAACCGGCTTGCCCTGGGGACGTCAAATAGGGATCTGATTCTTGCTGCTTGAGCCGAGGCAGCCTGGCTGATGGTGCAGGAGTTTGAGATCACCAAACGCAGGTGAGAGAGGCTTGGGTTTCTCTAGACACAAAGGCCTAGAGATTGTGGTCCTTGAAAAGAACCTTAAACGTTTCTCCAAAGCTCCTGAAAACAAGATCTGGAGTTGAACTGGGCAGCCTTACAGCTACATACAGTTAAAACCCCGCTCAGCACTTCTGCTAAGCCCAGCCCTCACCCTTCTTGAGGCTTGCGTTTTGGGGCTGCAAGGAGAAAAATGGTTCTTTCCAGAATGAAAGTATTGATATGCTTAAGGCCTAAACCCTTGTGTGTGAAACAGATCAGGTTACTTAGTTGTGCAGGCTTTCAGAGCAGTTTGGAGGATAGTTCATTTACCTTACTAACTTCTCTCAAATAGTTTTATTTTCTTCACACACACCCCTCCACATTTCTCAGTCATCTATGATTGAGTAGAATGTTTAATAGAAAAAAGAACCATTTGACCCAGAGAGAAGGGTCTGGGGCTTGCTGCTCACATCAAGATTTGGAAAGCTTACTCCTAGTTACTAATTATTAACCTTCACCATCAGGGCAGTGGTCAAAGTCTTTTTGTAGGACATATCATTATCTGTTGTGAACATTGAATATTCATTTTGCCGTTTTGTTAAAAAGTAAAATTTCTTAAAATTTAATGAACTTAGTTTTTACATTTTAAATAAAATTTTCAGATATAAAAGCAATACATGATGGTACAAAATTGGAAAAAAAAATATTACCCATAATCTCTTAACTCCATGACAACTGTTTGGATGTATTTCTTTTATGCTTTCTAATATGCTTTATTTTACATAATTGAGACCATATTATGCATGTATGTATGAGTGTGTGTGTACACCTGTATATAAAATTTTGTAACCTGTTGTTTTCAGTTACAGTAGACACACTTCCTGTTATCACAGGCTCATCATTAACAAAATGCTTTGCTGAGGGCGCCTGGGTGGCTCAGATGGTTAAGCGTCTGCCTTCGGCTCAGGTCATGATCCTGGAGTCCCGGGATCGAGTCCCACATCGGGCTCCCTGCTCAGCAGGGAGTCTGCTTCTCCCTCTGACCCTCCCCCCTCTCATGTGCTCTCTCTCTCTCTCTTTCTCTCTGTCTCAAATAAATAAATAAAATCTTTAAAAAACAAATGCTTTGCTGGTGGCGGGACACTCCGTTGACACCTCCGTGTACCAGGTGCAAAGCTATTCCTTCTGGCCATCAGTTGCCAGGCCCACTAGCATCATTTCCCCTCAGCATCTCCCTTTTTCTTATCAGGGTTCTACAGATGCAGCCAGGAAGTGGGGTTGGAATGCTCTGGAGGAGGAACATTCCTTCCCTTTCTCAAGATTATCTGTGCATGCCCCAAGGCCCTGAAAGTTGGTTCTTAGTCTTCTATCTATTGTTCTCTGGCCAGTCAGGGATGCCTAGCATGGAGAGATTTACAATTCTATAGTGAGAAGGCAGGTCTTTGAAGCATATCCTAGTATTATAGTCATCAGCATTTGAAAGAACTTATCCACCAGCTGATTCTCTAGGTATTTCCATACTTAAAGGTTGTCGACTCATGAGCTTAGGATCTTAATTAAATAGAATGGTCTTAATTAAACAATATAGTCCGAGATGTTAAGGTCAACGATTTAGCAGAAGCTAAATTCATGTTGAACATTAAACTACTCACAAAGACACTAAGTTACAAAAGTCTACTTCAATACTGGTTGGATCCCAGGAGATAACCTCTCCGGCACCCAGAAACAGAGGAGACTCCATGAGAAGGATCTAGATGGGTAAATATAGATGAACATGAGCATTCAAGTATTGGCCTGAGTTCTGAAAGGAGAGCGTTATGGAGTCATCTTGTCCTCTTTTATAGTCTTCGCAATAATTCCCAAGGCAATGTTGGTAGAGTTTCTAGTTCCCGGAAATAGAAACAAAGAAGTCTTTTGTAGATGCTGATTGTGCTGTATATTACACTTGAAAACATCTTATTAATAAGGTTAAAGTACCATTTATTTTATCCAGCACTCACTGGGTGCTAGACACTGTGCTAAGCTGTTCATCTGCCAACACTCTCAGGGGGCCTTATCTCTTTTTGCAGTTGAACAAACTGAAATTTAAGTCGCTTGCCTAAGGTCACACACCAGTAAGTGACCAAGTGGCTCTTCAAATTCCTTACAGCCTGCCATTGCTAGAGCTCTTACCTACTAGGCTCTCTTCCTTTCTGAAACTATTGGGAAAACGTGTGATGTTTAGATTTGTCCGAGTGACAGGTGATGGTATGAGAACGCTGGGTGAGTTGCAAAATCCAGCAGAGTCATCCGTAAGAAATACAGTAGCCCTTCACCTTCCCAAAGCTAGAGGCAGTTAAGGTTATTAAAATAAATACACATCTCAGGCATTAGGTTTGTGAGGCATTTGTACTGCATTGATGGCCACATCATCTCTAAGGATACAGAAATGGGTACGTCGCATACAGAAAGCTATAGAGGAAAAATGATACATGATGCTTTCAGGAGATGGGCTCTAAACGTTTGCTTTCTGCATGCCCCAGGCTGATCATTTATAACATCTGACACATAGAAAGGATAGTGTTTGTGGTATTCTATTTATTGATCACCAGATTGTGATGTGGCCCAGTTTAAAAAATGAAATATAGGTCAACCAAAGGTTATATATTCTGTAAATCTAATTTATGGCAGAGGTTGGGTTAAAGCCTATAATTGATTTACTTAATTACAGGTAAAAGCTTTCTATCTGATGTAACTAATAGAAATAATGTTCTGCTTTAAAGAAATCATATTTCATCTTGTTGGTCTATACTAGAAGTACAGTCGTCTTCCAATAATTCAATATCCATGAGCAAAAACAATGGGATTTTTTATTCAAATGGAAATTGTGAATTAAAGTTGAAGAAATTATGACTTTGCTTTTACTACATCCTGTGATAAGAGAGTAAATTACAAAAGCTCGGCTAGTTTTCAAATATATATTTATTAATATTCAGAACATATGCAGCTTGGAGTAGGTAGACTCACATTAAAAATCTGGCAGGATCAGTAGCTGGCGGAAGGATCTTTTTTTTTTTTTAATTGGGAAAACACGCAGCACACTTTTTTTTGTGTAGGACAAAAAGTCTTCAAAATTATCAAGAAAGGAAATTATACTTTGCTCTGGAACTTTTTGGTAAAGTGCCATCAAGATGATTACTTATAATAAGGCATTGGAAGGTATGTGATTAAGCATGCATTTGTGGTGTATTTATAGAGTTTCTTCACCTTGTAGGAGAACTGTGCTTCAGAAAACTTGGTCGCCAGCCAAATCCCTCTTTCTGTTGCTTGCCGGAGTGGGCTGGGCTTCAGAGGCTGTGTGGGCTGACTGTGTGACCTTGGGCAAGTCACTTCTCTCAGGGTTGTTAACATTATCTTGTCTCTATAATGATGCATCGGTTAGAAGAGCAACTTCATTTAAAAAAAAAAATGTTGGAAGTAACGGAGACAATATATATTATTCCTTATCCAGACCTATAGGAAAATGCTGGAGCATTATAATTGCTCAATATATATTAGTTTCCTTTAAAAAAAAAAAGAAAATACAGTTGAGTGTAAAGAAAATAATATTTAAATCACCTATAATTTTAACATTTTGCTTCCTGTATTTTCACGCTTTTCTTTTGGGGGGCATATAAACATTTTTTAAAAAGATTTTATTTATTTATTTGACAGAGAGAGAGAGACAGCGAGAGAGGGAACACAAGCAGGGGGAG